TAAAAGAAGGGAAGGAAGAGGTATACTCGGAGAAATAAATGGACCCAAAAGCCAAAGTGGTGGAGTGATCTTTATCTAATTGTGCTTAAAATTATAATATCCCCACAAGTAAGCCATGGGTAGCATTATATTTATTAAAATAGAGCTAATATGAAATATACCTTCAGATAAATGCAAACTTTTTGGAAGACACACATGTACAGAACTGTTAAGTCTTCAAATTTGTCTTCTTGGCAAAATATCTGCTCTTGTCAATAGTGCACAAAGTTGCTCTATATTAGAACTAAATTCAGGGACGTTTTATAAGAAAAAGACAACACACACACATGTTGTATTTACATGTGACCACAAATAAGAAAGAATGTACTTTCCTAGGCTGCTAGAGAAGCATGGTTGGGAGCAGGGAGTGGGTATGAATCATGAGGAGTTATGGAGAGTGTATAACATTCACGTTAAGAAATTATGTTAAAAGAAAGTAATAAAACATACACTAGTTGAATAAAAGGTCAAGTTCTCTTTCAAAAAACCTAATGAAACTCCCCGTTTTCTCAGAACCAACAGTTAAACATGGTTACATTCTGCCTTGCTTGTCAGAATATAACATCTACCTGTTTTAATAAGGGCAACCCAGGACATCTGCTTGGCCTCCCCTTTACTGGTTTTGTCTTAGATATATTTTTATTATGATAAAATAGTACTCGTGTCAAAATGCCTAAGTATTCATAGTAATAAATATATAATAAATACTTATATCTAGACTGAACCTTGACATATATAAGATATCATTTCATGATTTACATGTGTTTTAAGAAAGAGTTGGCCGATAGCCAGTCAAGGGAATGCATAAGATATTTATCACAGAGTATATTAGGGGAGGAAGGAAGATAGGAAGGAAGAGAGGGAGGAAAAAATGGAAGAGGGGGAGAGAGAGAGAGAGAATAAAGACAAAATATCTAGAGAGGTAACTAAACAAGTCTCAAATACTATTTTCTCAAAGAAGTCAAGTTCCTTTTTCACATCTTCTATCTTAATAGTGAACACACTGTATTATTGTTTAATTATTTCACTCAACCTTTGCTTCCTACACTAGAAGCTCCACGAGCATACTGAATGTTGCACACCTCAGAACATGTGCACAAAGTTAAGAATTCAACAAGAATTTGCTGAGTGGATAGATGGACAGATGCACAGGTCTGTATTTCAGTCAAGTAAGTAATAAAGTTTTTCTTAAATTTCTGCTCATGTAGATTTGATCGAATGTATATGAGAAACAAATACTAGAAAAGATATTAACATTCTAGCTGAAAGAGAAATGGTTAGATACAAATTAATACTATGCTCTTAGTATCATAACAGAGAAATAATTCAAAGAACAATATTTTCATGGAGGGGAGTGGCAGATATTTACATCACAGTACTCAATGAAAATGTCAGAAGATGCTTTGGAAAATTTCAACAGAACGAATTCAGATAATAATATCACTAGAAATTTGCACTTCTATTTTTTCAGGAGTGGTTAGAATTCTCCCTTAAAATCATCAGCATGGCCAAGTAACTCTGTGTGTTTTATTTTATTCAATGACAGTTTTATTTTACAAGCAAAAAATCCCTTTAGTAATATTAAAAATAGAAGCAGGCTTAAGGAAAGATTAGCAATATTTTACTTCTCTTCTTTCCTCTTTATCTTTTGGGGCAAATTCTACTTTAGAAACTATTTTTCTAAAAAACAAAAGACATTGGCAAAAGCAACAGTCTTGTTTCGGTGTTTGTATAAAGAAATGCTTCATTTTTTGAAAAGGCTTACCAAAATGGAATTTATCACAATACAAAAATACTATAAGCTGGCAACAGAAATTATTTGTTATATTTTTGAATTTTTAAAATGTCTCAAAAAACGAAAGAATGAATTATGAGCCATGATTTTCTTGTGATTAAGCTTTGCAGCATACTTTCAGTGAAAATGCAATATTTAGGAGCAGAGAGAAATCATCGTGACAAGCTTTCCTCTCCAGCCCAGCATTATCCTCTCTCACTTGCCCCACTATTTGTTAGCAGATATGACAACACAAGTATCCTTAAAACCCATTGTAGGGTTATTTCTGCTAAACTTATTAACACTTGGGTCAGAATTATGAGACCAATAATAATAACTATCTGAGACTTAATGAGATAAATAATATCCAAATATCCTACATAAATGCCATTAATGTATAAGGCCACAGGTAGGTAAATCATCTGGTAGGATAAGTAACATTTTTTACAACATACATATGACCTTTACATTATATGGGTATGTGAAATTCTTCAAAAATTAATTTCAATCATTGTCACAGCTATGCTCCGAAATGTGTAGGTTTGCTTCTAATTCTAATGAGTATTAGAGTTCAATCATACCATTACAAATTTTATAAATATAAATGGAGAGCCAATTACATTTAACCTGATGCTAGTTTTGAGATAATCTTTGATGTCTTTGCTCTCACTTCATTTTTTGTTTCCTTAATCTTACTTTGAGAGAATAAAAATAATATATTTAAAAATATTCTTTGCACATCTACATGGTCATGTGTACCTATATCTCCTCCTACAAGTATCTTATGAGCAAAGGCCATGTTTTTATGATGCAAGGTATGATTTACTTGAATGTATGTATTTAAAAAGTTTATGCATTATAATGACATAAATAGATTAAGACATAAATAGATTTCAGTGGTTATTTCTTACTAATGGGCACTCTAAATGGTTAGGGTCCATAAATACATTATTGTAGCGAGACTTCTTATCTCTTGGCATTTAAGCCCCCAACTCAATGTGGAATAAATACCCTCATTACCTCAGGGAGAGAAATTTCTACTGTTCACTTCTCAATGGCTCTATTAGGAATACTTCAAAATAGGATAGAGGTTCAATATTTTCTTTAAAAAGAGCCTACTCTGTTTCCTTAGACAATTGAGGGCAGATAAAATATTTTCAGAATCTGGAGAATACCCAATCTACACGTGGCACTTGATTAAACATATGGAATACATACTTGGAGAAAAGCCAACTGGAGATCTGCTTGAGTAATCTAAACACCCAAGCTGCGAGGGGTTAACATATAAGGATCAGCTTTATACTTTGAAGTTTTCTGGTCTTCATTTTGCCTAATTAAGACAAGATTTAATAATCAAACCACTGTACAAACATATACCTAAAAGTATAGGTTTGCTTCTAATTTTGAGAAGAATTCTTAACAGATTCCAAGGAATCAGCTCCACATGGGAAAAGGTTTCTGATAAGATTTGCCTTTGTCATTGCTAAAATGCAAATGCCTTCCCTGCTTTTCATCTCAGTTTTTTTCTGTGACTGAGGTTAACATCTGCCTGTCAAAATTTTGAGTGTGATACGAAAGGATAAAGATTCTGACATTAGCGTACCATCAGTTTGAAACAGGTCACAAACTCTAGGTCATAAAATAATTCCACGATATTAAAATGTTCTTAAAGTATTTAAAGAAATCATTTCTAGACTTTAATTTCAAAGGGATCAATTTACCCAATTTATTCACAGTCGAACATACACACCACACATTTTGAGGGAAAAAAAATCAGAAGTAGCAAAAAAATTTCATTTACAATCTAACGCTAATTTTGTAAATAAACCCAAATCCAGATTAAAAGATTATGAAGCAAAAAGTAGGCTTCCTAATATCCTCTGTCATATATTTTTTTTGCACTGGAGTTCTTGCAGTTTTTCAACAGTACCCAGTAAGTTCTGTATTGTGCTGAGAGACCATGAACAGGTCAACCAAGCTAACAGTACTGTAATACACCAAAGGGGTACTCAGCTCAACAAGCATGATGACGTTCGTCGGAAGGAAGCTAGTTCTGGCCCTATGAGACTGACTGGATACAAGTTAATTTGATAAATTTACAGAAGTGCGCTAATCTGGTAACACGGAAAATGTCTGCATATAGTGAAAGAAAACTGGAGAATCGGTTGTCACCGCCAACGCTCCCACTCAGGGCGCCAGTCCCACACACGGACATGCCATCTTTTAAGGCAGCAAAAGGCTGGGCTGAGAGAATTTCTGCTCTTCAGAAATGTGGGTCTTCAGCCCATACTCCTTTCATGGCTCTGTGCTTGTGAAGATGATAGCCACAGAGAAGAGAAAAATCAACAATATTTGCACAAAACTAGCACACGATGAAAATCTCCTTCTCCTGCTACTATAAGAAATATAATTTAACCTTTGCCCATGAAGGTTTATTTTGTTTGTTTTCTACATCACAATAAAATAAAGCATTTAATAATAAGGCAAATGGGAGCTATTCATTTGTAAGTAAACTGGGTATCATTTTTCAATATAATGCCTCTATAATGTATTTGTAGGTGACACAGTGAGAAGGATCGTTGTGCTTACAAATTTTGTGCTTACAGATTTGTGATTACAAATTCATAGAAAATGTTTTACTGGCCTCTCTGATGCCATGCACTGTAATCTGTGGCTGCTTCAACAAGGCAGTACCTAAGGATGTATTACGATACAGTCAATTTTTGTTTCTGCTTCAATTACTTCTTGGAATAAAAAGAGTCACAGTAAATAAGTGCAACCTAGATGCATAATAGAAGTACCTTATTGGCTGACCTTGTGCTAGCTATCATCACTTGTGCAAACTTTTAACTTCTTAACCCATCACACTCAGCCCCGTCTCAAGGTTTTTGACAAAAATACCAAAAAATGGGACCCCATTCATATGTGTTGTGTATTAAAACTAGCACTCATTCATGAAATGTCCTGCTAAGCTACGATCTCAGTTTTGATACTAATGTCCCACGAACACAATGATGATAAAAATACTGATATGATGATGTTCTTGAGCCTAGGTAGCTGGATTAGGATGGTAATCTTTTTGCTGCGATTAATCCCAACACTCTTCTCTTACATATCTAAATCAGTGAGAAGAACCCAAAGTTCTAAACCAGTGACTATGATATTTTAACATGGAGCAGAGGCTTACTTTGTTCATGTGAATCTGCTGCTGGTATTGTTTCTGCTTCTCCAAGAACTGCTGGTGTTGCTGCTGAATGACCAACTGAGCCAACGTGCTCTGAGGCAGAGGTGCAGACTGGGTTCGATTCAGGGGTCTATGACGGGGCAATTTGTGGGTGCTTCTAATCCCTGGTGAAATTCTCTCTTTTGTTGCCAAGGGAGACTGTGGATGTAAGGGAACTCCACCTGAAAGACATGTTTGTGTGTATGAGTGTTTGTGTTTATTTATATATATGCACGTACACAGATACATTCACACACAATTGTAAGAAAATACAAGCTCCTTGCCAGGCAAACATTTGAAGAGCATTAGGTTGGGTGCTGTGAGACAGAAATGCCAAGGTCTTGAACAGGGATGTGTCTGACCATGCGACCCATCAGCAGTCCAGTCTGGTATGTACGAAGATGGAAAGAGTGCATTTGTTCCCCACTCCCACCTGATGGATATGCAGGAAGAAGGAAAGACCTCAGCCTTTCTCTGCAGTAGCCAGCGTCAGAGAGATGCCTGTATAGCAGGGTAAATCTTTATTAGGCTCCTGAGTTAAAGAGACACTGCACTGGATCACTCATAAAATAAAAGTCCTAAGAGAACCCATAAATGGTGTCATTGTTAATTACCGGCCACAAGAAGCTTTTGTTGTCGCATTTGTTCTTTCAATAATAAATGCTGCAGGAGAGCTTGGTGGCTGCTGTTGGGCTTTCCCTCTAAAGTCACATGAGGATGGCTTGAAGATGCCGAGATGCTGCCCCCGTACTGCCCAGGCAGAGGAACACCTTGCCTGAGCGTCTGTGTCTCACACTTCTGCTTTTCTTTGAGAGAATTTGAAGCCTGTGTCAAGAAATAATAAAGACGTTTATTCCCATTAAGTAGGTGGGTCACTAAGTCCCAACATCACTAGGTCACTTTCTTAGGCCATAGTTTTGCGAGGCAACAATCCAGCCTACCAAATGATCGAGTAAGGAAGGTGGAAAACACTATGTATTTTAAACTAACTTATTTAACAAAGGAGAAATAAAAATAAAGTAGAAGCAACGGAAATAATTCAGTAATTGAATATCATTGTACTGAATTTAAAAGTTTTAAGGTTTTTTTAACACTAAAAGTTATGTTAGGTACACAATTTCAGTGAGATAGGAAAAAGAAATTCAGCTGGTCTCGTGTATGTCATGATGGCTATTGTTATATAAATAACAATATATCTTATACTTAAAAATTACCCACGGAATGGAAGTGATGTGTTTTCATGAAAAAAGTAAGTGAATGAGGCAATGCAGATGTTAATTAGCTTAAGTCATTGTACAATATGCATATGTCAAAGCATTATGTTCTAACCCACAAACATATATAATTTTTACGTATCAATTAAAAACCAAAAATGATGCTAATTTCAGACTTAAAAATGAGAAGCTTACTTCTAAATATTTTAAAATATATTGCTTAAGAAAAAGGTATTTTGGAAAGGTAACATTTGTTCTAATAGTTACAAACTCTATTAAGACAAAATGGTCTGTAATACAGGTGCTGGAGAGTCAAGCAAAAGGAACAACTCTCCTTGTTTTGCATGTCCTCTAATAATTTCACAGAGCTCTATGTTTCTAATATTTAATTATTAAAATGAATTTGTAAAAGGAAATCAATGAAAGGAGGTACAAAATACACAAATTTGATTTGAATGTTTATTTTATATTAATTCACAACAGAACTCTAAATCTCCAGTATTAAAAATGACACCCTAGATACTTTTGTATAATAAACTACATGTGAAATCAGGTATCAAATAAAAAAGCTATTAAGAACTTGAAATATATGAGAATAGAGTAATATGGCAATAATAATTATATCATCAATGGCAATAATGAATTATCCTATTCCAAAAATTTAATGAATGGTGGTCAGTTTAGTATTACAAAAGTAGAAGTCTAATATATAAAAATTATGTGGCATGCTTCTTTTCAAAATTCATGTTTCATCTTTCAAAATTGCCGTGCACCAGGGAAGCAAAGCAATTTTCAGTGATGGAGAAATTGAAGGACAAAGAGGTAAATGGTTTGTCTGAGTCACAGAGTCAACACAATGTTTAATCTAGAAATGATGGCTGGTCCTGGCCTCTTTTCCTTCAAATTTCCCACTATTCAGTGGGGAAATGGAGTATTAGAGATTCCTTTGCCAGAAAAATACTAAGCTTGAGAAATTAATCGTGATGGCCTCATCCACACCAAAATGGAAGCAAAGAAAAATGAAACTTTAATCCAAACCACATTGGTTTATTCATCCAATGGCACCAAATTGTATTACCATCGAAACATTAAATGGTCTGGCTTTAGTACTTGGTCCTTTGGGCAAATATTTTCCCTGACCACATGAAACGTAGTGGAAGGGTGAATTAGTGAGGAGGAGTAGTTTAGAACATGCAAAAATCAGTGGCAACAAAACGCCTATTCATGTCTCGAAAGTATCCGAGTTAATATGTACTTATCACTAGAAGAGATAGAAACAGAAGAAAATTTTTAATAAGTAAAGATTTATTTTTAGTTTCAGTCCTAATTCCTTTTTCATTTACACTACAACCAATTATTTATAAATACTTCATGTGGAATTTCAGGTGTATATTTGAATTCAGGAATATTAAATCCTTCTTCTTCTACTCCAAGATATAAAACAGCATCTCCATTTTGCTTTCTCCTCACTGGTACAAGATAACAGTATTGCATGGTGTAACATTATACTCTATAAAATTCCAGACATCATAAAATATCAGCTATGATAAACTGTCTCTTAATTTTGGGATTTTACAACATGTATTGAAGATATATATGAATCTGATATGCTGGACTCAGTAGAGGACTTGCTACTAAAGACTGGAAAAATTAGTGACAAAGGGTGGAACAAATTTGTCTTTAAACCTAATCACATGACCTCTTTATATGTATAATTTACTACCCTTTCAAAGATGCATTCTTGTGGGTAAAGCCTACACATCTTTTGCAACTAAAATTTATATATTTTAGAAAATGCACATAAAATAACTGTTGCTATCTTCTCCAAGTAGGACAATTACTTCCACAAGATCCTATTTCAGTTGTCAGGACTTTTAAACGAACTAAATCTGTGAATCTCCTGGGAATAGTTTAATATACTTAGAGAGGTTTTCCAGATACGTGCTCTTCAGACCACAGAATCAGTAACTTCAATTCCTGAAATAAAGTCATTCACAAAACAAAGTCTATGAACATATGCTGCTGTGTTTTCCAAGCTGTAACACTCAGCACTGGCTCGGGGTGTGTTCCAGGTCTGGCACTTGCTGGAGCTGTAATCTTCAGCTTTTAATCTCTTTTAGTCTCCGTTTCCTCTTTATAAAAATGTGAAGTGCAATCCCTGTTTCCCAGGATTATTATGTGGAACTACTAAAATACCTGGGGAGTTTTCTTTTAAAGCTACACGCCATTCTGAAATGTTAGTTACTTTAATAAAGAATTCTGCCAACCAATATAATTCTGTGATTTGAAATTAAACCGAATATTTGAACAATGCAGCGAGTAGCAAAGAGCGAAGAGCTGATGCCAATAAGATTTTCCCAAATCTTAAATATACGAGAAGTGAAAGAGTGTTTCTATATGAAAATACCACTTAGGCTGGTCTAGGCTGAGGCCGTGCAAGGACTTACGTTGAGCTGGGATGACCCTGCTGGGAGTCCCAAAGTAATGTTGGGCAAAGAAGGAGAGGTATAAAGACTTAGCAGGTTCATGGAATCTTCATGAATTAGAATGCGTTGCTGTGAAACCAGTTGCTGTTTAAAAAAAGTAAAAGAAGGTCTTAAAATATCACAGTCTCAAGGATTTTAGTAGAAAATAATCAAATTTCTATGAGAGGCTGTACATTATTATAGTTAAGAAAACTACAAGGGGTTGACTGGAAAATACAGTATGTTTAAATTTTGAAAAATATTACAGTTATAGACACATTGACAGTAATTATGTTTAAAAAAACTTCCTCTTGCTGGGAACACTTATAACATCTTTCTTACTAACTTTTCTAAAAATTAATTTTATTGGTATATGTTAGATATACATAATGATCACATTTATCATAGGAAATTTCTTGCCCTTTTGTGAAACAGTGCTGGAAGTCCTCTTTCATGAGTACCCTTAGAAAATGTGACAAAGAAACCATGGTGAATGCAGCTGGCCAGCGCCCCCAATGGAAAAACAGGGTTATAAAAGCATTACAGTATGTTCTCAACCACTTTATCCACCAGATCGGGCACCACGTGGCTTTTGGCTCTCCCTCAAAGTTAAAATGCCAATGAAATGTACATGTACACGATTCAGGCATCAGGGCAGCCAAAACAGCACAACTAAAAACACTCACAAAAGAGAAGCTTCAGAACTGCTTCAGAAAGTGGTAGGAACAATGGGTAAGTGTGTTCAAAGAAAGGGGGAGAATTTCCAGGGGGATTAATGGCAGTGCGTCTTTTACTGTAATAATTTTTAAAAACATTAAACATCCACCATGTTGTGATTACACCTCATATTTAAGTTCCATTTTATGACTTCTGTGCCCAAGAGTTATAATGTTATTTAAAAATCAAATAAAAATTTCACCATCATTTATAAAATCTGAATACAGGACTTCTATGTTAATTTTGCACAACGTATTTTTAAAGTCCTGGCTTAATGGAATATAATCAATGTGTTTATCAGCTACTGCAAAATGTAACAATCAAACTGGGTAATTCTGATGAGTATTTATACACTTTTTTATCTAGTTTAACAAATATATGTACACTGTCCTAGGCATTATGTTTATTTGAGTTAAATGCTATGTAACTGACAGGAAGCTCATAGAAGAAAGTCTTAAACACCACCATATAGGGTTGAAACAATAATGACATCTTTTAATATAAAAATTTATGAATAGACAACTCTGTGTGATGTGGTTTTTTTTAATAGATCATTCATATTCAGAAACTAAAGTAAATGTTAAAATATTTTGAGATCCCCACACAATAGCCTTCATTTACACTGAAATGCTCTAAATGTTTTGACATCACAGTGCTTCTTACAACAAATGCCTTTTTTTAAACCCAATACTAAGAGTCATGTTTTCCCACATGTGGCCTAATATGGTTGCTTGAATTACATTTTCTGTTTAACTCTTGCTTCCCTCCCAGAACTTTTATACAATAAGAGTTACAAAGGTCTTATTAGACTAAGGAACTCTGGCCTGATATGGTCCCCAAGGGAACAACATCCCTGAAAAAGAATACTCCATGTAACAGTATGACACAGTGACTGCTTTCTTCCCAAACAAAAAGCATATGGGACTCCAATAATAGACCACCTCCAAGAGGGATATTGCACACACGGGCTTTGACTAAAGTAAATATAATAACTTGTCAAGCATGTTTGGGGGAGCTGTATATTTTCCTCTGGACAAACCTGGGATATCAATTAACTGAGAAAAGTATCATGGGCTAATACAATGCAACCTCAGAATGTCACCGAAGAGTGATGCACCGCCAAAACACAGGATGTTATTCCAAAACATCATCTCAATCATAGGTCTGTTTGGAGATGAGTCCTTGCCTTAACATAATAAAAGCAGAAGGTTAAATGCGCTTCTGCTTGGAACTTGGAACTTCAAGCTAATTCAGATTTTGTTTTCTTCTTAAAAGACCATGTCAGGAGTTTCTGCAGGAAAATCGAGAGTTATACTGAAACTGTTAACATTACATTGAATTATATCTCAAAATTTAAGTTGAAAATGTCATGGTATGAGTAGTGTTGAAAAATATTTTTAAATTGCACTGTGTGGTATTGCAACTTTATTTCAGGAGCTATTTATAGTAGTTGCATTTGCTTATACAAATAAGCTTTGAACATCAATTTTACTATAGAATATATACATGACCAAAACCAAAATGAATGTCTAAGGAAGGAAAAATATTTTAACTAGCTTATTGGCAGCAGATAGTGATTCAAAATAAAGGGATAATCCATTCATTTATCTGTGTTCATAGAAGAGTTTACAAGTGTGGAAAAGTTACGCATTTTAATGTATAACTTTTGTTCAAGTTTGTGTACACTCCTCACGGCACTGAGATTTGACAAAGACTATGGTAAGGACACCAGAACAAAAGCACAAGCAAAACCACAGACCTCACAAAAGAGGTTATCTCTGTTTCCAGGAGAGATTTTCTGTGATGTCATCACCAGAAGCTGATACACTAAAATGAGAAGCAGGTTTCTTCTCAGCTGTGACAATGGGGGCAGCATGTTGGCTATTTACAACAGCTTTGACTAAATTGGGAGGAACTGGGGATATTTCCATGCTGAAATTGCAGACCAGTAGAGTTTCACGTAAACATTAAGTGACTCCATCTCCTGGGGTGGTATACTGAGGTTCAGCACCTAACATGGGCCAAACCCTGTGCCGAAGTGTTTTTGGAAGTTAACCTATCCTTCATATATGCTCTCAAGTTACCATTAAGCTTAGCTTGTAGATAGGAAGATGGAGGAAAGTGAGCAAAGCAATTTTGCATCCTAGTGGGATCAGCAGTGAAATTTAGGTTCTGCTGCAAAAATGCACAGTACTCTGCTGCTACTGTTGCGGGAAAAGGGAACCATAAATGCAAGTAAGAAGGGTGGGTGCTTTGGAGGATGAAAGGGAGGAACCTCAGGCCCTATGGCTTAGGGAGAGAAGGAATGAACTGCAATTGGGAGCCAGCTGACCTGAGTATGAGAAGAAAGTCCTTTTGACTTCACAGTGTGAGGACCTACAAGCTGTAAGGACAGTTGCTGAGGGTGGAAGGTAAGGGCTGCATCCCCTATGCTTCAGGGATAGATAGTTCTTTCCACAGAGATTAACTGGAATAACCTCATATGATAGAAACTTCAGGGATTTGGACATTGCTTAGTTTATCTCCTTTGAATTGAGATAAGGAAATAGAGATAAGGAAATAAAGATTGGGTAGACTTCCAATGCCTGGAATCACACTTTACCATTTTTCTCAAGTTGTCTTCCTTAAATATAGCTTTCCGCTGAGAGGCTTTTTGGTAGGAGCGGTCTGCCTGTTCCTAGTTAAAGGCTTTTAGCAACACCCAGATCTGTACTCCATAGCGCTGAGCGCAGGCAAGGTGTAAGCGGAAGCACTCCACTGAGAAAATGAAGGGTCCTGACCAGTATTCCTGCAAGGCTGGATGATCACTCTACTGAGAGCTGTGGTGAGCTCATAAAATTTTAGGCAAAATCAGATTTTGGCTGGAAGCAGTTTTGACAATGATCCAGTCCTTTCTTAGAGCTACACTGCAAAAATACCAAAATTTCACAGTTTTGAACACTGGAAAGATGGTTTTAATTTGAAAATTTTTCATAATTGGATACTTTTATTATAGTTAGATAAAATGGAAATACTAAAATATGGTTGGCTATCACAGAACCTTCATAAAAGAATTAATGTTAAATTGATAGTGTTGGGCAGTAGGCACACAGGATATCCTGTATCTCACAAATTTACATGCAAGCCTACTTTCTACATAAGAAAGCACAAAACTAACTCAAATGACTTGTGATCATGACTATAGTTATAGTATAGCTAACATGCTCTGATGGCAAACAGGAGGGTGTTAATTTAAAGACAGGCTTCGGTAAGTAACTAGAATTTCAACAGGAGCATGGCACTCGGACGATGGGCAAAAACTGAGCCTGGTCCTGGGGTGCGGTGGGGGTCTCTCACATTTTAGTAAGACCTGTCATAATTTTCTTTTATCTCTTTTCTATCACATCAATTGGAAGAATATCTTATAGGTGATATTTGCAACTCAGAGGAATAAAATATACATAGATTGAACTTCTGCCATTGAAATTATGAAGCTTCTAAATTCATTTAAAATACTCTTTGTAGACTAATATAGTAATTCTGATACACAATTTGGTTCTATAAGCTAAATAATCATACTATTCCCCATGACCTAATGATTCTTCAGCTGAGGATCACAACTTCAAGAAATTGCCCCAGCAAGTTGTCAGGATGTTGGTATATATTAAAGGACATTTTTTTGCAATGGGTGGCAATGGAGGCTACCATTATTACATCTCATTGGAAAATGAATAAAGTGGCGCAGTCCCAACAGCATTTATAAAGATATGAAGAGACCTATTCCCAGTGCTTAGTGGTAAAAGAAATGAAATGATTAGCGTAGATAACACTATGCTATTCATAGCCATTAAAATTCTTGGGCAGAAGAAAATACATATGCCATAGTAATCCATGTAAACAAAAACAAAAGAGAGATAACAACCTATGGGGCAAGGAAGATGGAAGTTGAGAAAGAAGATAAAAAGGAAGGAATAAATAAGTGAGAGAAAGAGGAGAGGACAAAGGGAGAAAGATAAATGCTTTTCTTACTTGTAATGGGAAAAGAAGTTAACTGATAGCCCCTGGTTTTTTTATACGTATGTGTTTTGTTTTTGTTTTTGTTTTTTTTTTTTTTGTCTTTCTGAGACAAGGTCTCGCTGTGCAGTTCAGGCTGGTCTTGAGCTCACTTTGCAGCCCAGGCTGGTCTCGAACTCACAATGATCCTCCTGCCTCAGCCTCCTGAGTGCTGGGATTACAGGCATGCGCCACCATGCCCAACTGATAGCCCTTGTTGAAATACTAGCTATGTAAATCATTATCTACATGTAAGAAGCTTGTAGGAAAAGTAGATGGAGAATTTTCAATTTATTCTATGTTCAAAATTACCTACAACAAGCATGAGAATTGGAAGAAGAAAAAAACCACATATA